AAAGGAAGGAAGCTACATTTCATATTGCATGAGAAATCTTGCCCTTCCTGGAAGGAAGCTGTAGAAGGACTTTCTTCCTAAGGCCCATGAAACAGGTATGGATGCCATGTGCAGTTGTTTGAAAGAAAGTGTCCCCCAAAGGGAGTGGCACTATTAGGAGGTGTAGCCTTGTTGGAATAGGTGTGGTTTTGTCAGAGGAAGTGTGACTTTGAGTTCTCATATATGCTCAAGCCACAACCAGTGAGACAAGCTACTTCCTATTGCCTACAAGATGTAAGACTCTCAGCTGCTTCTCTGGCACCATGTATCTCAGTTACTTCTCCATCACCATGTCTGCCTGCATGCTGCCTTGTCCCACCCCGATGATAATTGTCTGAACCTCTGAACTGTAAGTGAGCCACCCCAGTTAAATGTTTCCCTTTATAAGAAAGAGTTGCCATGGTCATGGTGTCTCTTCACAGCAACAGAAACCCTAACTAAGACACCAGGGGAGCACACCAGAGAAGGGCCTGACTTTCTTCAAGAATTCAAGTCCTGCGCTCTTTGCCTTCGTATCTTTCTTGTTGTCATGGGATACCAACAAGACTATTTCAAATACAAGACTGGATCCGAACTAAACCTCTTTTAAATTCACAACTGAAAAACAACAGCATTTACATTTGTTATTTTTGTCTAGAATACAAGGGTTGTCTATGAATAAAATACACACAGTTGGAGAGGGGGTGAAAATTCATCTCGCCGCTCTCTGCCAGCTCAAAGGCCGGTGAAACAATATTCACAACTTCCCATAGCTAAGCACATAGTACCAGCCAAAATGAGCTGCTCAGCCCATGCTTGGGGTGTTGTATTCAGGTCCCACCTGAGCTGGCTTGCAGTGTTGGGTTAAGTCATTAAATTGAAATTAATTAATTTAACCCCACAAATGGCCAGGTTGAAATGAGTTGTTTGAAGTAGAATGACATGAAGGGAATCTAGACTGGTTCATCTTTAGATTCAGTAACAGTGGTCTGAACACTTGACTGGTGGACAATGGATATGGCACGGACCATGCAGAACTGAGAACTCAGGGAAAGTGGAACCTGGACATGGCCCCATGCAAAGTCATTTCTGACTCCTGAAAGGTAGGCCCATTTGGAGCATAGGTGTCCCATATGAAGTCAGGATCTGGGGACCCTGTACCCAACAGCAACTGAGATACTATTTCAATTTAAACAGAACAGTTCCCTATAGGTTTGTGTGTTATAACACTAGATCTCCAGCTGAGGGAAGACCTTGACGTGAATCCTAGACAGGTCACTGGTGAGTGGCCAAGAGGTTGCTTAGCCCTGCCTCATACCTTGACTCTCTCTGCTGCCTAACTGAAGAGACATGGCATTAGTTCCCGCCTCTATGTCTCCCTGCCATGATGTGTTTATTGCATCCCTTCTTAACCCATGTGCAAAAAGGAATTTTCTTCCAATTAAGTTGCTTGGCTCAGATATTTTTTCACAGCAACAAGAAAGGGAACTAATCCAGCACCTATGTGTTCATGTGCAAAGACAGCTGAGATTTTGGGCTCTCAAGTGCTGGGACTTTCCTGTTGCTCCTAACTATAGATTTTTAACTTCCAAGCACTTTTGCTGTTGTTGTTGTTGTTGTTGTTGTTGTTGTTGTTGTTGTTGTTTGTCAAGTATGTTTGGTTTGGGTTCTAGTAGGGACTTGTACATTTTTTGATATTGCTCATTTTTGTATCATCCTTGTCTTAGTCAGGGTTTCCATTGCTGTGAGAAAGGACATGACCAAAGGCAACTTGGGGAGGAGAGGGATTGTTTCAGTTTACACTTCCATAGCACAGCCCACCACTGAAAGAAGGGCAGGAACACAAACAGGGAAGGAACCTGAAGGCAGGAACTGTTGCAGAATCCATGGAGGGGTGTTGCGTACTGCCTTGCTCTTCCTAGTTTTCTTATACACTCTGGACCACCTTCCCAGAGAAGACACATCCCACAATGGGCTAGGCTCTCCCACATCAATCATCAGTCAAGAAAATATCCTACAGACTTACCTACAAGCCAATACTACAAAGGCATTTTCTTGATTAAGATTAGTTTTTCCCCTGAAGACCATACCTTGCATCAGCCTGACATGAAAACTAGCCACCACCATCCTGAAGTCCACAGATTGAGAGGAAATAGAGGACTTCAAATGTGGGCAAATCCTATAATTTCATGCAATCTTCCCAGTCATTATAGAATTCAACTTTTTGTCTCAAAATTAAGAACCATATCCATTTGAAGCTACTTAAAAGAAAACCAACATCACATGGCCTTCATAAACCTGGAGAATATTTTAGGCATTCCCTCTGTGTCTTCCGCCTTCCTTCCATTGAACTGAACATGTTCTATATGAGGAATGTTCGTGTCTTGTCTCCTTCCCAACTGAGCCCATGACTCTACTTCTATCAATTCTTCCTTCCAATTCTCATTGTTATATAAGCTAAATGTCTTAGAAATAGACACACATCTTAAAAATAAACTCCTGTATATAATTCAGCTGTGAATGTGGTATTCAAGCATTCTCCAACTTAGAGCAGGCTCTCTTCCAAACACTGGAGTTTATGTCAGTCTTCTAGTATTCAAAATGCATCTTCCCACAGACACCAGGCTGTGTGCGGTGACTAGGTACCCAGGAATTCCGTTAAAATCTGCTGAAGCCTGAGCAAATGAGATGCCATGCTACCCTAGACATAGCCATGACTTGATGGAGAATGAGCACAGAGGTCTAACCAGAGACTGGCAAGTCATACACATAGGGGTAACGATCACTCTGCCTGCCTCTCTCAGAAGGCATTTTCCCACAATCCTCCCTGAAGACAGGACAAGTTAAGTAAGAATCTTTCTGGTTTCTATTTTGCCCTAATGTATTATGGGGAAAACATTACTTGACTGTTAACAAGTCAAATGTAGCAAAGAAAAAAGAGAGAGAGAGAAGATGGATGAGTTCCAATGTAATTGTATGGATCTTGAGATGCAAATCCATCTCTCTGAAAGCCTGGTGAGAACTTGTAGCTATACCCACAACCAGCAGTACTAGGGAAGTACGACTAAGCCTTCAGCAGCTGATGGAAAAGAAGAAATAAACTCAAAGGGAGTAGACAGAAGGGGCATAAGACTTGTTCACTGTCTTAAAAGCACCATGGATAGCTACAGTGGGATGAAACACTTCCAAAAAGGAACAAACAGGGTAAGGTCAAAAGACAAGAAATATTAGTGGATATCTCCTTTAAGAGAAGTCAAATCAAGAGCTGCTATTGCCAAGTTAGGATGAGCCTTTCTAATGATCCTGAGTCCATGGCTACTCTGGGTCACCCTCACATCAGAAAACTTAGTGAGAATCTATCCTAGCAAGATAATTTCTCAATTGTTTCTAATTAACTTTTTCTAATTTCCAACTGAAAAGGTGGGAGAGTTACCATTTAGCCTGAAGTCACCTATTTAATGAAAAAAAAATCTA